GAGTGTGGGTGATCAGTTTCAGAGGAACGGATGTTTGACCAGAGGACCTTCAGACTCAAGGACCGATGGAAACTTCAGTGACATTTCAATTTGTGCCAGGAGCTGCAATCATGAACTAAGCCAAAGTTGCATCTTAAAAAAGATATGTACAAAAGGTCTAGTGCTCCAGGTACAATATTGTACCTGCAATTGACAATACTACATGGTGCACTTAAAAATGTAAGTGCTCATGGTGAGTGTTCTTGCCACAACCAAATAAAATAAATAAAATAATAATTGTTTGTGTTTTTACAAAACTGAAAAGTCTAACACATAGGAAGTATTTTCTCTTTGCCCGAACACCGAGCAGAACTCTTCCCTGGCTCTGGTACGTTCCCTGCACAGCTCTCTAAGAAGCTATTGCTATCAGAAGCCCTATTGACATAGGAGGAAAGGAGCCTCTGGAACATAACAAAGCAAGTGAAACCCCAGATAGTCTGACTTCAGAACCCGAGCTCTTACCTGCCAGGTTACAATACTTCCCTGTCGTGCTGAAAGCTATGTGGAAGCAACTAGATGTCAGATTTTTCAGCAGGTCAAAACATTTGTTAACACAATAGAGTAAGTTTCTGTTTTTCTAGTTGAGTTGCTTTGCAAATGGAATGGGGGAGGGGGGGAGTGCTTAATTTGATCCGTGGCATTTGTCTTGTTTCTTATTTTATTATAGATACGTAAAATTATAAAGAATCCTATCCCTTTCATCATTTTAAACTCTACCGTGGGCCCTCTGTCCAATGTCTATGGGCTAGCTAGATTGGTAGGTGGTTGGAGCAGTGAAGCCACCCCTCCATTAGAGGGATATTTCACTTTTTGATATCTTGAGAATTTCCTTGTTGTTGCTACTGCTCTGCTTTTAGCTGTCGGCGAGCACATTCGTCCTGTCCAGTTTCCTGCCCTACTCTGAGGAGATGGCTTGTGCAAACATTTCTCTGAAGACAATTTATGAATACATATGTGGCTCATGCGACACTAGACTAATGCTTCTCAAGGTGCCTTCACATTACTTAGGAGTCAGACTAAAATGCGGGACCTGAGATACTGCCTTTTTAACAAGCTCTCGGGGGAAGCTGAGTGTGCTTCTGTATGGACCACAATCTCAGTTCTAAGGCCCTCAAAACGTTTCAGTTTTTCTTGGGTCTGGAGAAAACATCTAGTTTGATTCTAAAATCATGGAAAAGGCCTTCCCTATGATTTTCTCATTTTCCCTAAGTTTTTATATATCTGATCATAAAAATCAGTTTGGCACAAATTAAGTTATATATTTTTATGTTTGCAAATGAAAGTATTTCTAAAAGCTATTTAAAAATAAAATGTTTCCATTTGGGCCCCAAATCTATCAGTTAAAAATATTTCTCTTTTTGCCTTCCAAACTTTTAAAATGTATACCTCTGATGTAAATGAGATTGTGGAGTTATACTTGAAACTTCTAGAATCATCTGGTTACCAGAGAGCTGCACAACCTCCAGCCCCATCTTGGGGCAGGCAGGTATAAGACTCTTTGGTCGGTATAAGCTAAATCCAGAGTTCTGGGCATTAAAAGGAGAAAATAAAACTTTAGAATTGCTCTGGAATTAGCTCCTTGACCCAGCAGTCCTATTCCAACAAGAGTCAATCATGGAATTTCTGAAATATGGTAGCAACCATACTTCAGTAAAAACTGCTCTTTGAATTTTAATCCTGCTATTCTGGCTTTTGCACTCAGTAGCTCCAGGAGTTAAAACTGCAGATAACCTTTAGAGATTCACTTTGCTCAGCTCTGCTTCTGTACTATATGCTATTGCAAGATAGATCCACATTCCTACATCCAGCAGAATGTGGCTGGGAATGACCCTATGGGCTGTTCCCAGACTTTAGAATTTAAAATTTAGAACAAAGGAAAAATTTTAAGTTTAATCAATTAGCAGCCTACGATGGTCTTATTTTGACTCCAGGGTTCGACCCCACAACAATTTCCTAGATTTTTCAGGTACCTTTGTCACTAAGCTCTTCCTGTTATTGTCAGCATCACTAATTTTTGCTCCAACAAGGGGATATATATGTAATAGAGGTAAATGTAAAACTCCTACACTGGGGTCTCAAGATCAAATTGCGAAAGAGTATAATGCAACAGACATAGAAAATTGTGTTGTCTATCAATTTAATATAAGTGATCAGGATACAGTTATTCAGTCTAGGAATCCATTAGTAGAACAATAGTGTCTAAGGCAAAAAAAAAAAAAAAAAAAAAAAAAAGTACCGGCTTCCTCTATTTTGTATTTGGCAAAGCCATACTTGTGATTGTATGGTATTCAGACGTGTTTGTATGCCAAGGTGTGTGTGTGTGTGTGTGTGTGTGTGTGTGTGTGTGTGTGTGTGTATGAATCACAAAGGTATGGGAAGGGAGAAGAAAGGGCATTTGTGATTTAGGAGAAACAATGAAAAAGATAAACAGGTTTAAAAAACCTGTTAACACCTGTAACACATAGAGATATTTACCTTTGAAGGATATACATGTGGGCTTTAGAGTAGAAGCTAGTGAGACATCGGTAATGGGTGGATGGATGAACATATAGACACCTAGTGAATTCATTCTATGTGCTAGGCACTCTGCTGAGAACTGTACATATACAAAATGTTATTCCCTAATCAAACTGTTAAAATGAATGTGATTCCCATGTGAAAACTGGTAAATAGTAGGCATGAATAAATTAAGTGACCTGTCCAAAGTCATTGACCGGGTGACCTCATAGTTTGTGCTCTTAACCTCGAGTTTATAACCCCGTCTGACAACCACAGAGCTTCCCTGCTCAGATTTCCCTCAAAGAAATAACTCGCTGGCCAGCTGTGAAAAGTGCAGTTAACTGACAGCCTCCAGCTGTTAGCACCCCCAGGATCTGCCTTGCAGTTCTACCAGAAACCATGATGTTTTGAGAGGCCCCAGCTAGTGGCTGAGCACAGCAGGGGTAGTAGGAACTGGACATCCCTGCCCATCATGGGCTCCTCTAATACACAGTCTTCTGTCAGGAGTTCCCCACTGAGTTCTCATAGACTTGATCAGATCAGCATTGCAGTCTGAGGCTCTCCTTACCCACTCCTTCCTCCTTCTCCCTTTTATCTATTACAGAAATTATTCTGAAAAACAAAACAAAAACTTCCATTACTCCACCATCCATACTCAGGATCTGCTTCCTGTGGGACCCAACTGACATCTGACATACCCTGTCTTCCAATATGATATGAAAGAGCATTTAGAATGGCCGTCTAAATGGTGATAAGGGGTTAATTAATTAGGACAAAGTGATTTAACTATCAGGAAAACAGCTTTTATATATATATATGAAAGCTGTTTTCCCACTGCCCAGAGGCTCTTCCCATTGCCCAGAGGCTCTTCATGGCCCAGAGGCCCATCTGAGGCCAGGTGGGGAATGCTTGCCTCATTGTCGTGGCAACAAAACAAACATTCTACCAGGCTGCTCACACTACCCCCTCTCAGCGGCTGCCCTCGAAATGGGGGGCTCTGGGTGGGGGCTGAGAGGACTGGGGGCCGCCATCTTGTGGCTATGGGCACTGTCATCTTTGTGATGGAGTGACAGTTAATTTGCCTATTATCCTTTCATTAGATAGGACGCTTTCTAATAACTAGACCTGCCCAATCAATAGAGTGGGCTGCCTGAAGACTGATGAGTCTCCTGTCCCTGAAGTCATTCAGACCAGCCAGAGAATGGTTATTGTAAGAAGGTTGCATGGCATTGCTATAATCCCTGTGTGACAACTGGCATACCTAGGATGCTAAACATCCACAATACAAATGGAGCAGCAAAAATCAAATTGTCGAGAAAGCCACCTCAGAAAGAGCAAACCTCTGGTTTCCCATGGCCCAATGGGTCTGGTTTCATATATGCACACTGTGTGCTCCTAGAGCAGCCCAGTGGTCCTCTAGGGCACACCAACCATTGCCCACCTTCTTCTTCTTCTCCTTCTTCTTCTTCTTCTTCTTCTTCTTCTTCTTCTTCTTCTTCTTCTTCTTCTTCTTCTTCTTCTTCTTCTTTTTTAATCAATGGACTCCTGGGAAGTGACTTAAGGCAGCAGGTTGATTGTTCCCATGGGTTATTTGGCCAGAGGAAAACCAAAGTGCACATATGCTCTGTTAAACACACTGAAATATGAGTTCAGCATCTGATGAAATTCTAATGACACCTTCCACTGACTCCAGGTTCTTAAGCTCAATAAATGGGTCCCCCAGCCAGAAAGATTTAATTCCTCAAAGCCATTGCCTCCGTCTCTTCATCAAGACACCAGCACATCAATGAAGGGACACATACTCTCTCCCTTCCAGCATTTCCATAACAGTTAGATGACATAAGTAATCTTATGTTGCAGATTGTAAAATAAGAAGTAGGAAAGTCTGGTAGAAAAACAATAACCTCATCAGCACAGGGATCTGTATATAAGGAGATGCTCATTAGATCTGTAAATATTTACAGGCCACCTGGCAAAGGCAACGGACGCTCTTGCAGGTGGTGGGGATGCAGTGATGTGCCTGGCAGAGCCCCCAATTGTGTGGAGCATTCATTCAAATGCCTTTGAGAAAGTCTGTGGGCCCTTCACTGAGGGAAGCACTCAGAGCCGCGATTGCTGCTAGTGATCCTAGAGAGAGCGCTGTGGGGCCTCCAAGCTGATCTTTTCACCCTCTCTCCCCACCCCCAAATTCCTGTAGTACCCTTGCCACTCACCATCTACATTTTCAAGAAACATTTCATTCTACTCATAGTGCTTTGAAGCAAATTCATAAAATTTGCAAGAGAAGTTACAGAAAGCAATCTCAGCAACATTTGTGTTTTTTTTAAACTGATGATACAGCTGACCTACAGGAGACACAGGCAGTGGGAGGGCCCTCACTGGTGTAAATAAATAGGCGTCTCTGGGCTGAGAACCCACAGCAGAGACTCAGAGCTGAAGTCTGAACTCCACCTTCAGGCAGAATGAGGTTCATCCCGGGATGTCTGCTTCTCCTGCTGCTGATCAGCAGCCTCTCTCCAGCCCACGGTGAGAACCTGGTCACTGACTTTTGAACAGAAGTGGTCTTCAGACATTTTTTTTTTTTCTTTTCAATTAGAAAATGGGGAGAGGGGGGCATATGAGTTGGGGAAAAAACTGCTCACTGTTGCTAGATTTCTAAAAGTAAGGTACTTAAGAATTCAACTCTTGGAAGCCTTTGTATTGTTATGATTGTTAGCCGTAGGAGGAGGGGTATGGATGCCCACTGTCCCGGTGACTCATCCTTGGCTTGTCTATTCCTGGCCTTTCTCAGATGCAGCTCTGCTATCACTAATTCTTTCCAGGTATCTCTCCTTTGCTCTGCCTGTCAGTGCCACCCCCGCTTGACCAAACCTTTGAAGGGATTTAAAGATTATGAACTCGACTGCTGGGTCTCCTGCAGGGAACATCTGATGCAATTCTGTATGTTTAGCACTGACACGAGCCATTATTAATACCACAGGAGTACTTAAGTACAAGCTTTCCGCAAAGAAGCAGGCTTCCACGTCTAAATGGGAAGGCGGTCTTAATAAGTAAATAAGTTTGGGAAAGAAAGTAAAAATTTAAAAAATGAACGGGAAGGCGGTCTTTGTGTAAATAGACACATATCTAGTTGAAGTGGTGACTTTTTATACACTGAAGGGATCGGGTGCATGTGCAGAATGATTCACTCGGCTACGGTTCAGAGGACAAATTTCCTTAAAATGCAGAGAATATTTTTTCAGTGATTATTTTGCAACACATGTTATTTTCATTATTCAAGACCCTCATTTTCTTTCCTCCATTGGTCCTGACAAAGCCCTCTGGTCCCATTATGCAGTTTGGACGTTGGGTGAAATACAACATTCTGTGGTATTTTAGTTTTTGCTCATTTGCTTTCGCCACTAGATTATAAACACCTTGAGAGTTGAGTCTCTTAGATTTGCAAAACCATGTCACGCATGGTGGTAGGCACTGGGATTAAAGAGGGAAGAATTCATTCAAATGCCTGAGATGGGTTATTTATAGTACTTTTCTAGTACTAATAACTTGTTGGATAAAAATAGCCTTGAATTTTTGTTTTTATTATTGGCTTTCGTGTGGTAATGATTTGCAATTGAGATGGAGGACCAATGTATTAAACAACAATATATATATATATATATATATATATATATATATATATATATATCTTTCATGGTATTTCCTCAGAGGTTGATAGGTGATGGCATTAAGTATGCTAAGAGAGAGAGCTTATTACTGCTTCAGGGATTCTGGGATGAGTTTTGTGCTCCATTTCTAAGTGTTTGGAGTGAAGATCAGTTGATTGCCTACTGCATTAATTAAAAATATAGTGGTTCTCAAATTTTATTATTTGGACCGTGTCCGGACTGCCAATATATTTCTGTCACAAACTTCAGTAGGTGTTGTGTTTTCTACAAAACTAATTTAATTTTTTTTAGATTTTGGTAGGAAATGTTTGAAAATAAATCAAGGCAAGCAGAAATGCCCACCCTAAAGGAACACAGGTGGAAGCACCAACTTGACATTTTTAAGTCTTCGGCTGCACTGTATGAATGACTAGTAAAGTTCTTGTTATGAATGATATGCCAAAGGGGTTGAAATAATGGATTCTGTGTTCACAGGTGTTCTGGAGGCCTGGAACACGAACTTCAAGTGCAAGTGCATGAAGTCGGTTCCATACCTGAGCAAGCGCAGCATGATTTCCCGGGTTGTAGCCTTTAAGCCTGGGGATCATTGCCCACGCAAGGAAGTCATGTAAGTTACAAGAAAACGTATATGTGATTCCTGTCTTCAGTGAAAATCAGATCATAGCTTCTATGTAGTATTTTTATTTTTATTTTATTTTATTTTTCAATTACAGCTGACATTCAATACTATATTAGTTTTAGGCATACAGCATAATGGTGAGACATTAGATATAATTTACCAAGTGATCTCCCTGGTAAGTCTAGTTACCCACCTGATACCAAGTATAATTATTACAATATTATTGGCTATAGTCCCTATGCGGTACTTCATAACCCATGTCTATTTGGTACCTGCCCATGTGTACTTCTTAATCCCTTCAACTTTCCCACTCAGTCCCCCTTCTGGAAACCATCAGTTTGTCCTCTACATCAATGAGTTTGTGCCTGTTTTGTTTGCTCAGGGTTTTTCTTTGTTTTTGGGGGGTGTTTCACATATTAATAGAAGTGAAATTGTGGTATTTGCCTTTCTCTGTCTGACGTATTTTACTTAGCATCATACCCTCTAGGTCCATCCATTTGTTGCAAATGATAGGCCACATAGTATTCTTATCCAAGAATCTCAAAGTGATTAACTTTGAGGGTCACTAACAAGTCTCAAAAACGAATAATGAGAATAATAATAGAACAATGAGCATCAGCAATATTTGTTCGGTGCTTGGCATGCATTCACTCATTTTATCCCTCGGTCCTTCTAAGGTATGTCTACTGTTATCATTCCTTCGAAGATGCAGAAGTTGAGTCGTAGGGAGGTTCAATAACTGCCCTAGGCACACCATTCCAATGGGACAGAGCCAGGACCTTACTCACATGTTTCCCATTCCCAAACTCCCTGAATCCACCACATTCAAACTGCCAGCAGATGCAGAAACGTTGTTTCCCACCAAGTCAAAGAGCAAGAAAAGAAGATTCCACAACAGTCCTTGTCTGAAGGTCTGTTTTACGGAAATGCCCTTTAGTTTTTTGTTCTGTCAATTTTGATCCCACTCTGAATAAAGAGCTAGGCTAAGGGGACAGTAGTGGCTACAAAAAGTTTAACAGATACTTTTTCTGTTATGGAAATTGTATGACCCCTTGCTTCCAGGACCCTCCCTTTTTGTAATCCCAGAGAAATCTGTGGCTACTTGTACCATAGCATTTCCACATCACATGAGATGAGACTGCACCCTGCATGCAAAGACCCTGGCACAGCAGTAAATTTTCAGTTAATGTTAGCTGCGATGACTATACCCTTATTGTTGAGACAATCAAGTTTGCACCCCCTCTTTCACTTCTGCCAGAAAAGAAGTTTTTTATAGACAGGGATCAGATATCATTCATCCCTCTATTCCCAATGCTTTATCCCTTACCTGGTTTGTAGAAGAGGCTCAACAAATATTGGATTGTTACTCTGAATGTTTTAAATGGAGCTTTAGATCTTTTTGCATGTCACTACTTCAAACTTTGGTTTCGCCTTCCTGGGTCTATCTTTAACGAACCAAGCACTCACAATGCCTTGAATTAGTAGACACGGTGTCTTCCTAGGGATTTGACAACTTTGTCTTCATCGGAAGCTCTCTCTTTGGACTTCTTTAGATTTTTGAAATGTTTGTAAACAGCTCACTTTTTTTTTTTTTTTTTGGGTCCCATTTAGATATCAATACTTTGGACTTCTGACTAATTATTTTCAACTTGTTTAAAAAACAAAACAAACAAACAAAAAAAAAACCAACAACAACAACCACACCATAATATAAAAAATGGGTATAAACTTTTTCATTAAAAAGGCATTGCACTTTCACTAAGGGGTTGTCAGTGAAAGTTCTAACTAAACCACAGTATTGTCTTGTCCTCAAATTCAGAGCTCTGAGGTCTAGCCAGGCCCTATCTGGGAGCAGCTCCTCTGTTGGGTAGAAAAATGAGATTTATTTCTTTCTACTCCATTTCCTAGGCCGTGAGCCAAGGCTCTCACCTCACAGTCAGGGAAAGTAATGCACCGTAATTTTCTCTGCTTTCACTTCAATCATCCTGAAGTGATGAAAATGTAATTTCATATCTTTTCACCAAATTCTGCATTACTAAACTATAACCAGCGATAGAAATGAAAGATGCAGATTATTATGAGACACTCAGACCCCTCAGGGGGTCAAAATAGTGTGAGCCCAGATGACCAGAAATTTGGTTTTCCATAATGAACTCAGAAACCAAATTGGAAGGCTCTGCCCAAGAATCCGGTTGTTCTATGAACCTTGACCTCTTACGGCTCACTGAACAAGGGTGGAGATTCAAAGCCGGGTAGCTGGATCCTTGCTGTTTGCCATTTTATAGCTAACATAAATGACACATGAGGAAATTGTGTTTTGTTCAGCCACACCCATAAAAAGCAGATTTTCTCAATTGGCCATCACCTAAAAGACCTCATTTCTTCTACTGCAGATAAACATGCAACCGTGTGTCTGCCCCTTGGTTACCGTTCTGATTATGCCCATAGGAAGCTGTGGCAACAAGAGTGGATTCTGGAGTCAGATAACCTTCATTCGAATCCTGTTCTCTCATGTGTTTATTATGCAATCTTGGGAAAGCTACCTCATATACTCATTAAGCCTCAAGCTCCTCATCTGAAGGCGAGGACATTATAATAGTTCCTCCAGCACAGGACTTGCATTACGTAGGTTAATTGAGATACTTTACGTTACCTGCTGAGCATAATGCCTGGCACATTGTCAGTGCTTGCTCAAGACCAGCTATCAATTATTGTTGCTGTTTTAGTTATCATTTAATTTCTTAGAGCAGTGAGAGCCTCACTGCCTGGTAGCTCAACCAAACCATGCAGACGTCGCTCAGGGTAATCAGCTCTGTAACCTCTTCCACATTAAACTTCATGGGAATTTTTTTTCAAATAAAAGGTCCTCAAGAGAGTGTGCTTTATAGTCTATTTTGTTCTCCCAAGCGCAATGGCTAAAAACATTTAAAAAGATATTGTGATATAGCTTTAGGAGTGAGCCAACCTCGGAGTCAGCTATTTGGTGTATCTCCAACTGACATAAAAGCTGTCAACAAAACATTAACTTCTGACCTGTGAAATTCTGTCAGCTTTGTAGTCAGTTTCACCAGCTCCAACATATGCTTCTGCAAGTGGTGTTCTTCTTATTTCTCAGACCTCAGGCTATAAATCACCTACTCCAGATGCCTACCTCTAATTTTGCTTCCTCTGAGAATAATTATTTTTACATTCAAATCTTACATGCAGGAGTGACTAAAATGTAACACGGGTTTACTTTTATTTTTGTTCATTTTTCTCCCAGAGTCTGGCTGAAGAATGGGTCAGCTCTATGCTTGAATCCTGAATCTGAGTGGACACGACGTCTGTTAAAGAATGTCCAGAGGTAAGTCATGATTTTCAGATTCTAGTTTACACTGAAGGTTTTCCCTTTCCTGGACACTCAAAATGGGTGCCATTAAAAAATCATTTTTAATATGTCTTTATTGAGTTCAGAAAGAGGAAGGGAGAAGGAGAGAGAGGGAGAGAAACATCAGTGATGAGAGAGAACCATTCATCAGTACCTTCTATTCACCTCCCACTGGGGATCGAGCCCAAAACCTGGGCATGTGACCTGACCAGGAATCAAACCATGACCTGTTGGCATGAATCTGGGTTTGACGCTCAACCACTGAACTACACCAGCCGGGCATTGGGTGCCATTTTAAACTTATGAGAAGTTCCTAAGACAAATGTCAATTCTTCATTATTACTTATCAGATAAGATTAGGACAACTCAATTCTAGCAGCTCAGTAAACTAAACTGGAAGCCAGTATCCACAATATTCTTTGCTTGATATCTGCAGGGGAAGCCACAGCTTGTGGTCTTTCTCTAAACATGACTGTCTTGTTTATGTTTTTGTTTCATCCACTTTTAGGTCCAACATCCTGCCAAGTGACAGAAGGCCCACATAATAGACACAGAAGGCCTGATGCCAATATCCCAGCATGGACACCTGCACCCCTTCTCATTCCTGCTCGCGGTTCAGTTTTATGAGCAGTTGAATCTTTTTTATTTTTTAAAGAGCTTCCCCATACAAGCAAGCATGAAAATATATGTAAAAATCACCCTCTGGAGGCTGATATGGCAAACCTGAAGTTTTTGAATAAAGTAGTCTAAAGTAGTCTATACTTGGAGTTTGCATTCTTAAGTTCCATTTAAGTGTCTTTTGATAATAGATATATATCTGTTGAATGCTAAATTTTCCTATAAAAATAAAGGCATGGAAATTTAAACCTCAAATCTGAATATCTGGCTTGAGTAAGAAGGAAATGAGGGAGGGCTTTTCAATCATTTTATACCCAAGGAAAAGCAGGCTTCCATAGAGACTGAAAAGCTTCCGGGGAAACCCACAAAACAGCTTCCATTCAATAGCTCACCTTTAAGAGGATGGGGTCTTTGTCCTACTTTTAAAGAGTTCCCTTATAGGAGTTACTATCTTAGATAAAAACCAGTAACATTCAAACATCCCCATTCCTAAATTCATAGCATATTCTGGAAAGGCACTTAAAAGAATTCAGATGTATTCTTTTATATTTTTGCTTCGACAGATGTTTTTACTCCCATCTTTTGCACAGAAATGTTGTTGTTGGTCTCTGGTACCCACTTCTATAATGCTTCTAATTAGTCTAATGCTATTCAATAAACTTGATCAAACATTTTACTTAATTATTAGCAATTCATTCTTACCGGAGCATTTCCTCAAATGTAGACACTCTCTGAATCATCATCGTGAACAGCAGAATTTCACCATGTTTATTTTTTATTTGCATGCCTCTTACAGCTTACAGATTACCTAAATTACATGGCAAACTGTGAGTGAAGTTTTTGCTGAGATGAACACGGTGGGACAATGCTTGACTCCTGGAGCTTCTTTCCGTTGCTCTACCCAATTTCCTCCAGAAATTTTCAATCTCCTACTAAAGCCCATTTTCACTGTCTCATAATATTGATCCTTAAAGTCTCCAATGTTTCATTTGGAAAAATGTCGCATTCTGTGTTTGACACACAGAAGTGGCTGATGCTTACCCTGCCACCCCCTTCCTCCCCTGGCTCCAGCCCAGCTCTCCCACCACTCACTGGGTTCTGCTGGGTTTGTGCCCTACTCTCTCCACCCGCTTCTTTTGGGGTGAGGGGTTTCTCACAGCACAACCAGGTTTCAAGTTATATCTGGCTCCTGCTTTCATTTTTATCTTTCTATTTAAATAATTTTCTGGGGTAGGAGAAGTAAAAAGCACCTGTAAGTACAGTGTGGGGCAAAAGTAGATTTATAGTTGTTCAAATGGGAAAATGTTATAATAATTAATAAACAATACTAGCATAACTGCATTTTTGGGTACTCACAACTATAAACCTACTTTTACCCCACTCTGTATTAGATTTTCTGTTGTCTACAATTCAGTGTTTCTTTTTTTAAATTTTTAAATTGATTTTTTTTACAGAGAGGAAGACAGAGGGATAGAGAGTTAGAAACATCAATGAGAGAAAAGCATTGATCAGCTGCCTCCCCCACACCCCCTACTGGGGATGTGCCCGCAACCAAGGCACATGCCCCCAACGGATTCGGTCCGCAGGCCGATGCTCTATCCATTGAGCCAAACCAGCCTCGGCTCAACGTTTCTTTATCACAAACACACACTCATAAAGGGATTGTAAAATGTCAACCAAATCCTACATGCTAGCATTTTCCAGGCTTCAATATTTAGGGATCAGGAATCATTTAATTCTTTAGTCTGATTTTGGTTTTCTTGGAGAAAAGTAGCTAGACAAGTCCCAGGAGCCTCAAATAAGAACTGCTATCATTTCGCAGGTGGTACTGTTATCACTGTGATTCTACAGATGTAGAAGCCGAGACACAAAGAGGTTAAGAAACTTACTCACAGGCCTTCTGGCTACTCAACAGCCAGCCAAAACTTGAACCCAGGCAATCTGGCACCAGAATCTATGTTTCAAACGACTGCATTAAACTGACTCTGTATGGGATAGCTCCATCGCACAGAGACAAAAGTGGAGGCAAATAGACATTCACTTGCTCCAAATCACATAACTAATAAGAGGCAAAAAACAAATTCCAGGGCCACCTGATTCCTAAGTGAATCTTTTTCATCGTAAAGCTATACTACCTACATTTTTCTTATCCCTAAAAGTATTTCCTACCTCAGCCCCTCGGCCCATCTTCCTCATCAGGGCCACGCAAAGCCAGGGGAGGGTAGGAGCTCGAGAACGCTCAGGCTTCCCTGGGCAGAGACATGCACTGAGTGTAGTTCAATGCCCAGGGGAACGGACAACTGTCAGGGCAGCATGAGGGACCCGGGCAAATGTGGAGTGAGAAACAAACAGCAGGGCCAGTGCGGACTTCTAAACTCGCTTTTCTTACCACAGATGCACCCATTCCTCAAAAGCCACAGCAGATTTGGGGGTAGTCAGCCGATTTAGAACAGGAATCTTACCCATAGTTAGATGCAGGGTGACTTACTGAGCAGGTAATGGAGTGACTGAGGAAAAGTGATTGTAGGTGATCTGAGTGGGTTGGATCTAGATAGGGAGAACAGTGAAACAGTAAGGCAGATTTTAGGAAATTTATGGCTACCTACATACAGATATATACACATGAATTAAGATCCAAAGTGAAATAGAATTGAAGGGAAAACCAAAACAAAGTAAAGCTTTCTTTCTTTCTTTGATCACACTGGCAAATATGCTTTCCCATTCTTAGGATCTCAGGAGACATACTATCAATCCACTTTTGTTGTCTTGCTTCTATCACCTTCCTTTCTACAATTCTTCCCTTCACTGGGATGTGCCCTGTGAGGGTTGGCATACTAGTAGATCTGGGCTTTCTTGCTCTGAAGTAAAGTTTGGGGGTAGTTTTTGAACAGAATGAATGTGCTGGTCAACAGAAAGAAAGTTTATGAATCAGAAGAGGAACAATTGAAAGACAAATTATACTATGTGACCCTCAAGGACAGATGAAGGAATTTCCTGACTCATAAGAGTGTTTTTGTTATTCGCAGTGAGTCCCTTTTAACCTCACCTGAGTTTATGCTAGTGAAGTGACTATCAGCACACCCCTAGAAAGCTTCAGGATGAGGTCTGGTTTCCAGAGAAACCCACCATATTCAGTCCCACCCCTGAACCTCCACAGAGGGCAAATGGGGCTGTTCAATCACCAATGACTTAATGACCATTCCTACCTAATGGAACCTCTTTTAAAAATTCCTAAACAATTGGGTTTGGAGAACTTCTGAGCTGGTGAACAAACAGGTGCTGGGAGGGTGCACCTGGAGCAGGCACGGGAGCAAGGTGCTCCCCTCCTGCTAAATATCTCTTGCAGTAGGAGTCTTCTAACTTGGTTCTTTGTCAAAATTGTCTTGTACTTAAGTTCTTTGCTTTTCAATATGAATTTTTGAATCACTGTATCAATTTCTACTCTCTCAAAAATGATTTTGATAAGAATTCTTTTTTTCTGCAGTGAAGTATTCCATTGTGTAGATGTACCACAGGTTTTTAATCCACTCATCTGCTGATGGGCACTTAGGCTGTTTCCAAATCTTAGCTATGGTGAATTGTGCTGCTATGAACATAGGGGTGTATATATCCTTTCTAATTGGTGTTTCTAGTTTCTTGGGATATATTCCTAGGACTGGGATCACTGGGTCAAATGGGAGTTCTATTTTTTAGTTTTTTGAGTAAACTTCCCATACTGTTCTCCACAGAGGCTGCACCAATCTGCATTCCCACCAGCAGTGCACTGAGGGTTCCTTTTTCTCTGCATCCTCGCCAGTGCTTGTCATTTGTTGATTTGTTGATGATAGCCACTCTGACAGGTGTGAAATGGTACTGTATTGTCAGTTTGATTTGCATCTCTTGGATGATTAGTGACTTTGAGCATGTTTTCATATGTCTCTTAGCTTTCTATATGTTCTCTTTAGAAAAGTGTCTATTTAGGTCTGTTGCCCATTTTTTTTTTTAAATTGCATTGTTTATCTTCTTTTTGTTAAGTTGTATGAGTTCCCTGTAAATGTTGGAAATTAAACCCTTATCAGTGATAACCCTGGCAAATAGGTTTTCCCATTCAGTTGTTTTATTGATGGTTTCTTTTGCTATACAGAAGCTTTTTATTCTGATAGAACTTGAGAGCATTATGCTAAGCAAAATAAGCCAGTCAGAGAAAGATAAATGATCTCACTCATTTGTGTAATATAATGAACATAAACTGATGAACAAAAACAGATTCAGAGACAGAGAAGCATCGATCAGACTATCAAACCTCGGAGGGCAGGTAGGGGAGTGTAGAGGTAGTGGGAAAGATCAACCAAAGACTTGTATGCATGCATATAAGCCTAATCAGTGGACACAGACACCAGGGGAATAAGGGCATGAGAGGGGGCAGGGAGTGGGGGGCAATGGGGAGATAAGGACACATATGTAATACCTTAATCGATAAAGAGAGAGAAAAATAAAAATAAATGACTTTGATTGGGATTATGCTGACTCTATAGATCAATTTGGGAAGAAATGGCATCTTAATAATACCGAGTCTTCCATCATGAATGCAATATATCTCTCCATTTATGTAAGACTTCTCTAATTTCTCTCAGCAATGTTCTATAGTTGTCTACATTCAGATTTTGCAGTTCCCCAAAACCAAAAATGAGCTATAGCCTTTGAAAAGCATTCATCTGTAGAAGCAATACAAGCAATGTATTCTTATTTATCATCCATATCATTTGGGAAGTGGTCAGATGTGGTTTGTAGCCTAACTTCAACTGGACAATATCACTTCCTCCTTCAACGAAAAGTAGTGAATCACTTAGATGGGATATCCTCAAATTCTCCCCACCAGATTTGCAAGTCTACCCCAAACTCCTTTTTGGCTACATTAAACTTGGCACCCTTTCTCCTCATTCCTCCA